AGTTAACTGTTAATATCAGTAAAAGTGTCGGAACCGGATTTGCGTTGTATTAATAAGGCAGATGATAAAATCAGAATACTTCTAGTGACTCCTGATAAAAATAAAATAAAATATAAAAATAATATATATAAGCAAAAAGAGAAAGAATTCAAATTAAAATAAGGCATTTGCACTTTCCTTTAAAACGCTTATCTCTGTCTTTCTCTACACTTCTCCCTCACCTAATAAGAAGGCAACTCTTAAATAAAAAAAGAAGAAAAGACTGAACCCAGTCGAAACACTGCGGAAGTTTGCTGGACCAGAGTCTACAAATTTGTGAGTGAAAACTTCCAAAAGCTAGGGAGGCTCCACGCATAAATGTCGTTATATATTTAAAAAAATTGAAAAAGGAAAACCGGAAAGTAAAATAATTTTAGCCAATCAAAAAATTAACAGACTTTTGATGTTAGCCGAAGCTAAGGTTCGTGTCAATAGTCAGGGAGTCTGGTCAAAAAGCCAAGCTCACAGCGCTGAACCAAAAGAGTTGAAGAGAAACGACTGAACCACACCAGCCATGCGTGACGCGTGAAGTAAAGAGGCTATCTGCTAATTGTATTTTCTGTCCTATCAATATCCGCCTTATAAACGAGCATTTTGCTTCACCGAATATCAAAGGACTTACTTTAAATCAAATAAATAAAAATATATTATTTATTTATATACCTTTCACCACAGTTCATTTTATTTCCAAATTTCCGATAAATAAATACTAATAATATCCTGGTAAAACGTCACAGATTCAATAATTTAACGAACAGATGTTTGATGGTGATTCAACATCGCCGGCGTCTTCGGTAAAAACGGCCTGAGCTGAGAATAGGCCGAAGAAAAATGCAGAATTTTATGAGGAGAAAAGGAAAGAGTTTGAGGAGTCTTTTAAGGAAAATGAATTCATTAGATTTGATAGTCAAAGTTTCCGGCTAAAACGTAAATGAGTAATAATAAGAAATAAAATAATAATAATAATAATAATAATAATAATAATAATAATAAGGGATAAACCCTTACCCCACCCCACAAAAATAATTAAAAAAGTAAACTCTAATCACTAATGTAAGAGAGACTCCAAGATTTGAACTTGCAAATTATATTTGACGCCTGTGCAGTCATGACAGAGAACGGAGACATTGATTGGCTAGCATAAAACAACCACTACCATTCTAGTTCAGGGTTTGCGCAAAGAACCTTACCTCTTTCTTCGCTGAGTACAGCCAAATAAGTACGTGGAAACGAAACTAGGCATATTGGGCTTCCTTACACCCAACAAGTTGGCGCGAATAGAAAGGTGTTGCGGAAATATGCTGGGCAGATGTTTAGATGGAAAACACGTGTCTCCTGATATGTTTATCCCACAACAAAAATGGTCAACTCGGAATGTGAGTTTTGTTAATAATATAAACAAACGTAAATGTATGTATTAACCAAAGGTATACATAGACACTTAAAGATTATTGCGTGTTACAAAACAATGAATAATAGTGAATAATTTTATTTTGCCCACATTTTTCTTCCTATTTTCAACACTCGCGTTCCTTGTGGTTTGTTCATTTCTTCACTTCTTTACCAATTATGCAATAAACTATAAAACTTAAATAATTATAATTAAAATAATAATAATAATAATAATAATAATAATAATAATAATAATAATAATAATAATAATAATCTCTTGTCTAGTTACCCTTTTATTACAAAACACAAACTGAGTTTATGGATATTAGTGTGGGCGGATTGTTTAAAACAATCAGAAAGTAATTTCAACATTTTACAAAATCATGTATAGGATACAGATCCTATATCATTCCAACAAATGACTAAAAAACACAAAGTAGATTTGCACACCCGCAAAATCGGATCAAAACGACTAAAAACAGATTTCGCAATAAGGTGTGAAATTAATTTTCTGACCAATGAAAGGAGGCGATTTGCTAAACTAAAATAAAGATAACGATCCAGTGTGAAAAAAAAAGTCAGCTATAAATAGAGAGACTCAAGTCAATCACCAGTCAGAAGGGCGCAGAGATCAAAGAGGACAGAAGACTGACAGTCAGGTCCGTCACAGACTCAACCCGACACTAAGAGCAGAAAGTGGGGTAGGAAAGGAAAACAACAACAACAACAATTTTACAACTGACTCCAAAACAATAAGTACATTTTCCTCTTATCTTTTATTTCTCATTCACACTCTCTTTTTTCAACTTAAATTGATCGCTCCTTTTTCCTTTCCACCTATTCGGCGGATACACAAAAACAAAAGAAACAGACATTACTCTACTACTCTGTTGAAAGACAGCGAACACATAGACATTTTTGTTCAAATCACATTTGATTAAACGAACTAAAGCATTAATCTTTTTTTTTTTCTCTATTCACAAGATATAAAAATATACAAATTTGTTTATTCTGCATGAATGACATTAAATATACAATGTTCTATTTTCTACAAACGTTCCTTATCGTGTTGTCTTTTCTCAAAATTTGCGTTGTATTTTGTGGGCAGGGTATCCCGTATTAAATTCTCCTTTTAATCCCGGTACGCTGTACCCTACACGTGTATCAATAATGTCTGAAAATACTTTACAAAAAATTTGAATTTCAGAGAAACAATAATTTTGATAATCTTTACAAAATTTATTCTGGTTTTTGTTATATGTACAATTTGTTTCACAGAAAATGAAGAAAATACTTATTTCGCTATAATAGATTTTACCAGTATAGATAATTTTAAAAATTAAAATCAGTTTATATCAATAAGAACACGAAATTAATTAACAGAATAATTTGGGGAGTTATTCAATTAAATATATGTAAAGAAGGGAGGAAAATTGAAAAGAAAAAATACCTGGTATCTCTGTGGTATCCAGTGGCATTTTTAAATTACCACAATGTCTTACAAAAATGTTCATATTCTTGAAAATAAAAAACTAATACTAAATATTTCCTCTTCTGTGGAATAATCTTTTCTTGTAACATAGCTTGCTATATACAAAAGTGACATTTTAATACTTTTATGGATTCTAGTTTCAAGGTCTGGTAAGTTATCAAAACTCGACTACAACAATTACAAGGCCGTACTTTCTGGAGGGGGATAGACCCCCCCTCCCACAATACATTTAAATAAGTATTAACTAAAAAAAATCCTAGGTTCAGGTCCAGACCTGTAACGGGGTGGGTAAGTTAGGTGTTGATGTAGTAGTAATCGGAATCCTGACTTAATATTATTTAAGTGTTGTTAAAAAGTAATTACCCCGTTGCTATATGTATTTGTACTGTAATGTAGGAAGAATCCTCCCCCCACACCCAATCCTCACCCCAGAACAGTCCAAAATCAATCGACTTTTATTTTATAGTCACCGAATTTTCCTACCTTGTCAAAATTACCTATTTTCCGTTACCGAATCTTCCGTTACCAAATTTTCCGGACACCCTTACAAGGACGATATCAAGATACCTCACGTCTTAAAGAAAACATACATTATTCCTTAAAGAATGAATTTTATAATCACGATATTCGTTATTATGAAGAATAATAGCATAAAGAAAAAAAATTAAATTAACTTTCTATGACAAAATTCTTAATAATGACATTTTCCTTGTGAATTTCGCTAATTGTCAAAAAAAGTAAAAAAGAGAAACACGATATTAACAAGACAATGAATAATGTCTCCTCTTTTACATTTCTGTAGTATATTTCTAAGAATAGTTGTAATATAAAATATTAATACATTTATTGAATTTCATTTTTGACATTATGTGATAAATTCTTTATAAATAATTGTCATTTTTTTTATTAAAAATGTAACGTTTTTCACTGCAAAAGTGAAAAACGTTACATTTTTAATGTCTTCTATTTATTTACGAATAACAGAAAAATTCAACATAGTTTTTTTTTTAAAAACGGTACATGTTTGTTTTATTAGCATAAATTATTCATAAAAAATAATTTTATATTTAATATATTCATTGTTGAAGAACAGTAGCATAGAGAAAACTATGAAATTTAAATAAACTATGACTTCTTAATAACACTTGTTTAAAGATGAAATATGCAAGTTCAAATAAAATAAATAAATATTAGACTTACTTCAGTATCTTAAATAATCCAAGTTAAATTAATCCAAAGGTAAAAAGCAAAAATTTCTTTACAAAAAATTAATTTCTTAATCCAATTCCAGCAACGAACTTTCACGTGTTAATATTCACACCCAGTTTCTCACAGGCCTCAACACGGTGTAGAGGCCTGGTATAAGGATCACCTTGTTCCTTGAGTTTATCTGAATCGGATATTTTACGATTAAAAAAATCTTGTTTGCAAAAGAACTTTTTAGTGTTTTGACTGGATCTGGGATTTTTTCTAACGAAAACTCCTTTCTTTACAAAAATCACCCTCAAGTTTGCGTTTTTTGTGCTTAGAAATAAAATTGTAAGCACAAAAATACCCCTCCCTCTTTTTTTTTTACAAAAATGGGCATTTATTTAGTAGTTTAACTGAAATACCCGAAATTTGTATGTTTATTTACAAAAATGCCAATGCATTTACGAAAATGTCTTGTTTATAAAAATAGGTTTTGTGTTTTAAGTCACTTAAAAAACAAAACCTGTTTTATAGCACAAACTTAAATTAAGCGTCTGTCTGCTGCCTCGTAGTTTCTGTAATTAAATTGTTCCACAGAATGGGGTGATTGACCCTATGTCACACCTCTGTACTCTGAGAATGGTTTGGTTTTCTGTCGGGATTGTCGAGTCCGTTGAGAATTTAAAGTTTTCCTCCTTCTAGACTGGTTTACAACCAAGACTGAAGAGGTCAGTCTGCTTTACTATTTAACCCATGAGAGGTAAGAAGAAACTGATTTATACCTTTCACATGTAAAAGGTATGAATCAATAAATCTAATGAACTCGATTTCTGGTTCTGAGCCGTTAACAATTACCATTGTTGCAGTGGGTCGAGAGGTATGAGTTTCAATCGACCGTACAACTAAAAAGGGGACACAAAGGCAAGGAGATGGCAATAGCAAAGAAGGATGACAAACGCAGATGGTCCGTTGTAGACAATGGAAATCGTGTTTTTATTTGTGAACGGTGGATGGTAAGACGACAGAGGTCGTTTGTTCGGGAACGGTATCCGGACGTTAACGGGCGCTGGAACAGGTCGCTGGACGTCAATGGGCACTGGATTAGATCGTCAGGCGTCAGCGGGTGCTGGAATGGGTAGCGGGACGTCAGTAAAGCGCCGCAGAAATGAGCTGGAGACTGTTGGAAGCTGCAGGCTGCTGGAAACTGCAGGAGTGAGCTGGCGTCTCAGAGGGAAGGCAGTTGCAGAGAGTGAAGTGAGTGGAGCCTTGAAGAGTGGTGATTGAATGACTTTCAGAAGTTAGCCCTGAAAAGGACTGTTTGAACAACTGCTGCTGGGTCCCGTCAGCTGCTGGGCTCGGTCGACTTGACTGGGCGCCTCAAAGTCGCGATTCAGGAAGGCTCTCTGGCCGGCGGTATTTACTTGACTCCCACGACGCCAAGATGTGACACGAGGTCGTTTTTCGTGGGGTTACTTGACTACCACGGGGTCAAGAAGTGACACAAGGTCGTTTTTTGGTGGGAAACCCGAGCGTTTCCGCATAGGGTCACTGGTCAAAAATTGGTCATAACATGTCCAAGCTGGTCCAAACTTAGTCAATGTTTTGGTCATAACATGTTCAAGCTGGTCAAAACTTAGTCAAGTTTTAGTCCAAATTTTGGTTATAACATGTCCAAGCTGGTCAAAGCTTAGTCAGGTTCTGGTCCAACTTGGTCTTGGCTTGTCTTAGCAGGTCCTGATATGGTCCAAACTAGACTTTGCCATGGTCGCAACCCATCCCGAAGGCCGGGTCGTGGCCAGGCCGGCGGTATTTACTTAACTCCCACGGGGTCAAGATGTGACACAAGGTCGTTTTTCGTGGGAAACCCGAGCTTTTCCGCGTATTGGTCATAACATGTCCAAGCTGTTCAAAGCTTAGCTGGTCAAAGCTGTCCAGTGTTCAAAGTTTTGGTCAAATTGGGTCAAAGCTTAGTCAAGTTTTGCTTGGTGCAAACCAGACTTTGATATGGTCCAAACCAGACTTTGCCATGGTCGCAACCCAGCCCGAAGGCCGGGCCGCGTCGTGTCTGGCTAAAAACCGCTGTGAAGTCTCTGGCATCTATATAAGACTGTTCATACAAGACAAGCGGTGACGCTAAACAAGTAAATGAATATAATTAATTTCAGGCCGTAATAATTACAGTCAAAAGCGTGTTCGGTGTTTGTTGACTGTATTTAAATTAATTTCGGTTCGGAATTAAAGGTCTTTTATTTTTGTTTAGTGGCGAAAATTGAGTTTTGTGTTTTTTTGTCAGTTTGAAAGGAAATTGTTGCTATTTTTAGCACACGAGGGTCGTGACCTTTTTCTACCGGCAGGCATATTCGGGATTGTTTACGAAAGGAGGAGTGGTGATCGGGCACACTGCGACAAGGCCCTCTCCCAGGATAATTGATCATTATCAATAAAATATATGTCTTGTACTTCTTAGGGAAGGTGACTTTCCTTCCAAGGCGGGTCTGCCTGGTTGGAGTGGTTGGTGCTTCTGGGGTTGGCTCTGACCTTGGTTGTGACGGTTGCGATTGCGTGGTTGTTGAGGCAGGTGAGAGTTCTGGGTGTGTTGAGACGGGTTCTGTCTCACGTGGAGATTTTTCCAGAAAAGCTGGTTTGACTCTGTCAATAGAGATGGTGTCCGTCCGGCTTCCTTGATCGATGGTGAGGTGCTTCTCAGAGCGTTTTAAAACTTTGAATGGACCCTGGTATGTTGGTGTTAGTGGTTTCTTTACCGCATCATTTCGGTCAAAAATGAACTCGCAGTCCTGAAGCTGTTGTGGAACGTGGATAGTTGGTGATGGTTGCCTGGGTGGTGTATACTTCAGTTGGGCCATTTTATGGCGAAGTTCCTGAGTGAAAGGACTTGCAGTGGTGAGGTTGGGTATGGTGTCATCGAAATATTGGCCGGGTAAAGAGAGTGCTGTACCGAAAACTATTTCGACTGGAGTCTTCTTTGAGTGTGTTGCGGATTGACAAAAGGATTAGGGGTAGCTCGTCTACCCAGTTGCTGGTGGGATGTTTTGTAGTTAGAGAGGCCTTTAGTGTTCGGTGGAACCTTTCCACAAGGCCGTTGGCACAGAGATGGTAAGCGGTGGTCTTGATGCCGAGCAGTTGAGTGAATTCCTGAAAGAGTGAGGACTGGAACTGCGCACCGCGGTCTGTGGTGGTTTTGCTGGGTACGCCAAAAATTGCGATCAACTCTTGAAGGATGGTCTTTGCTATCGTGCTAGCTGAGGTATCTCTGATAGGTACTGCTACTGGCCACCTGGAGAAACGGTCAACCACCGTGAGGAGGTACTGGTAATTCTGGCACATTGGGAGAGGTCCCACTATGTCGGTGTGGATGTGGCTGAAACGTGCGTCAGGGTTGCTGAATGTGCCTGGCGGGGATTTTGTGTGCCGGTGTACCTTGCATTTCTGGCACTTAAGGCACGTTGATACCCAATTACGGATGTCAGTATTCATGTTGGGCCACGCAAAACGATCGGCAATGAGTTTGACCGTAGCGCGCTTGCTGGGATGTGACAATCCATGTAGGTGGTTGAAAATTTGCCTTCTGAGTGCCGGAGGTATGTAGGGTCTGGGGTGATCCAATTTTGTATCGCAGTACAATATTTTGTTGCTGAAAGGTGCCGGAAATTCTTTCAGTTACAGGGATGTGTTGGCTAGGGACTTCAGGGAGGGTTGCGTCGGTTCCTAGGCCTCTGCTATCAGGTCCTGGCTGAGTGGGCTGTCTTCCACTGTGTTGACATCAAATCTGGATAGGGCATCGGCGACAGAGTTGTCTTTTCCTTTGACATAACGAATATCAGACGTGAACTGTGAGATATAGTCTAGATGTCTGATCTCGCGAGCCGTATATTTGTCCGAGTTGTTCGACAGGGAAATTGTCAAGGGTTTGTGGTCGGTCAAAACGGTGAAATTCCGGCCTTCCAGTAGATGTCGGAAGTGTTTGATGGCGAGGTATATAGCCAAAAGTTCTTTCGAGAAGGTGCTGTATCTGGACTGGGCTGGTGATAAGTTAGCCGAGAAGAATACGATGGGTTTGCGTTGGTCGTCAAACTCCTGTTCTACCACAGCTCCAACTCCAGTGTCTGAGGCATCTGTTGTTAGATATATCTGAGTCCGGGTATCTTCGTTGAGATGTGCTAACTTTGTAAAGTTAGCTAAAAAAAAAAAAAGTTTGCTGCTTGGAATGATTTTTTCTGATCGCCCTCCAGGGTGATGGCTTTTTTTTTTTTCTAGAGGAGATTTGTCGGGGGGTGAGGAGTTTTGAGAATCCAGGGTAAACCTGCGGTAAAAATTTACCATCCCCAAGAAGCGTCGCAGTTGCTTTATCGATGTGGGCATCGGGAAATCCTGTATGGCTTTTATCTTATCGGGGAGTGGGGTGATTTCCTGAGCGTCTGTGTGGTGTTCGAGGAAGTCTATGTGTTGTGCGCCGAATTCGCACTTGTTTGGGTTGATTCGGAGGCCGTAATGTGTTAGACGGCGGAACACTTCCTCCAGGTGTTGTTTGTGGAGATCAGCGTCTCTGCTAGCCACTAGGATGTCATCAATGTATGCGTAGACATATGGTAGGCCACGCAGAACTTCGTCCATCAGCCTCTGGAACGTCTGGGCTGCGTTGCGCAGTCCGAAGGGCATTTTTAGGAATTCAAACAGTCCAAAAGGGGTTGTGACTGCTGTCTTTGGGATGTCCTCCGGAGCAACTGGAACTTGGTAGTAGGCTTTGGTCAGGTCGATTTTTGAGAAAATGCGGGCTCCCTGTAGACCTGAGGCAAAGTCGTGGATATGCGGAACAGGATATCGGTCAGGCACTGTGGATGCATTGAGTTTCCGGTAATCCACGCAGATCCTGAAATCCCCGTCGGATTTGGGTACCAGATGCAGTGGTGAAGCATATGGGCTGTCTGAGGGTCGGATGATATTGTCAGCTAGTATCTCCCCAAACGCTTTCTTGGCATATGATAATTTGTGTGGAGGGAGTTGTCGTGGCCGTGAATATGCTGGTTGTCCGGTGGTCTTTATATGGTGTTGGGTCTGATGGTCGCCTGCATCAGTTGGTTTAATGGGTTGCGTGAGGTGCTTGTACCGGCGCAGGATTTCTACGTAGCGTGGGTCGTGCTGTGTTGCCACGCTGATCCTAGTTGTGTTGAAGCTCGAAGGGATCCATGTGATCTTAATGGATGCCGTGTTGTCGGACAGGGTCCTCATCTTCATATGGACAGCCGGGTTGTAATGTACCAAGAAGTCGGCACCGAGCAAGGGTGTCCTGACGTCAGCTACGGTGAATGACCATTTGAAGCCGCGCCTGAGGTTGATGTTCAAGGTAAGTTCCTTGTTCCCATAGGTTTCTATGGTGAAGCCGTTTGCCGCTCGAAGTTGGAATGGGGTGGGTTTCAAGGCGGATCTGTTGGTGGGTGGTATCACGCTGATGGCTGCGCCAGTATCAACTAGAAATTTGAGGCCATTGTTACGGTCCCACACGTAAAAGAGACGACTGTGTGAGCGAGTACTGACAGGGATCGTCGTCGCTGCCTGTCGGTCTATTCGTTTCCCTGGGTCTTATTGCGTCTGCAGGGAGGGTGGCAATTGCGGACTCGGTGACCGAAGGTTTGGTAGTGCCAACATTCGTCCGCACTGTTTCTCTGTCCTGGACTTGAGCTGCGGGTACGGCTTCGATTTCGTGTGCGTGGTGCTGGGTTTCGCTGCCTCCGGCATAGGGAAAGTTTCAGGTCTCTCAACTCTGCGCGTAGCTGGGTCATCTCCTCTTCGAGGCGTTGTGTGTGGTTTCCGTAACTTTCAACCTGGTGGACTTTTTGGTGAGCCTGGGAGTATATCTTGTCGGCTGAATCGGCCACAACGTAAGGGGCGTTTCTACTGGTACCAGGGCTAGGACTTGCGTTATATTCGGTGGTAACCGATCCATCCATAGCCCTCGGAGGATGGGTTCTGCCATGGTGTTGTTCCCGAGGCAGCTCTTCATCAAACGTAGGAGCCGGGATGGGGTTCTCTCACCGAGAGACACATTAGAGAATAGGTCTCTGATGAGGTCTTCGTCCGAACGTGCCGTATGTTTGAGGATGGCTTCTTTGAGGCAGGTGTATGGGAGTTGGTCCGGGGTGTTGAGAATGATGTCTTCCACTTCTTCAACGATTGATACTGGTAAGGCTTGTACCACGGAGGCGTATTTCGTGTCCTGTCGTGTGACCTTTCGGGCTGAAAATATCGCCTCAAGTTGAATAAACCAACTCCTGGTGTTGATCGAGTTGTATGGTGGTAGTTGTAACAGGGCGGCGGATGTGTTGATTTCTGCTTCAGTGTTTTTCGCCATCTTCTCTGCTAGCCGTATGCCTGTGTCCATAGATCACGTCAGGGTCACCACTTGTTGCAGTGGGTCGAGAGGTGTGAGTGCCAATCGACCGTACAACTAAAAAGGGGACACAAAGGCAAGGAGATGGCAATAGCAAAGAAGGATGACAAACGCAGATGGTCCGTTGTAGACAATGGAAATCGTGTCTTTATTTGTGAACGGTGGATGGTAAGACGACAGATGTCGTTTGTTCGGGAACGGTATCCGGACGTTAACGGGCGCTGGAACAGGTCGCTGGACGTCAATGGGCACTGGATTAGATCGTCAGGCGTCAGCGGGTGCTGGAATAGGTAGCGGGACGTCAGTAAAGCGCCGCAGGAGTAAGCTGGAGACTGCTGGAAGCTGCAGGAGTGAGCTGGAGGCTTCTGGAAGCTGCAGGAGTGAGCTGGAGGCTGCTGGAAGCTGCAGGAGTGAGCTGGAGGCTGCTGGAAGCTGTTGGAGTGAGCTGGCGTCTCAGAGGGAAGGCAGTAGCAGAGTTTTAGTTGTTTTACTGGATCTGCGTTTCTTACAATTAAAAAATCACTTGTTTGTAAAAAGTGCACTTTATTGATTTAGCTTAGCAAAACCGGCATTTCACGAGCTTACAAATCCTTCTTTTTCATACAAAAAAGTTATTTTTATTGTTTTCATTTGAGCAGCATTTTTATGCTTCTTTTTAGACTCGCCTTTTTCTGTGCTTACAAAAATAAAGATCTGTAGTGATTTAACTGGATCTGCATTTGTTATGCTTATAAAAATTACATTACATTTTTGGTTTTGAAAAGTAGTTGAAAGATGAGAATCAATTGTAGGGTTTTTTATTCGTAAGCACAAAAAAAAGATATATTCAGTCAAAATTGCATTTTTAAGTAAATAAAACAACAAACAAACCCTTGTTTACAAAATTACACGTCTCATAAAAGAACCTAAATTAAGTCCGTCAAAGGTGCACAGTTTGTGATTTAATTTTCAAATTTCAAAAAAGTATACTATATACACCTTTGGATTTTTTTGACCAATCAGAGGATAGCTTCTATCCACGCAAAATTAAAAGTTGAGGAAATTCCTTGTGTTCTTTTCGTTGTTCTAGCTGCGGCGAAGATTTTCTCTTGTGGGCGTCAAAACTCCTGCTGCTCTGCTAACTTGTGTTCTTTCCTTATCGACGAAATGCTTTCTGTTTGACGTCTATTTATTAAAAAAAAAAAAAGGGGGGGTCTCTCATCCGGGTAAATTGGTCATTGGCCAGTAAATACAAAAAATATTTTCTCGCAAATTCAAAATGTATCCGTAACAAGTCACAAATAATTTTGGCGGTTTATAACCGCTAAGTCTATAAGATAACAATTTTTTCACAATACACTCCTTTGAAATCGTGTCAAAAAAAAAAAAAAAAAAAGAAATTAAAACAACCTAGACGATTAAACATTTATTTATTACACTGAAAACTAACTTATTAAAAATAAGCTAGTATTTAGTATAATAAATAATTAATAAAAAATAAAATTTTTATGCTTGCAATAAAATCCATTTACTGGTTTCAATGAAACTGCCTTTTTGTATCTATAAAAAACACTTATTTAAGATAGATGCCATTTGACGATTTCACTGAACTTGTCTTTTTCGTGCTTACAAATAAATCCCTAATGCGTGTGTTAACCATTGCCCTGCATTGGTTCCCATTTTTCAATCCAAAGTTTTATCACTTAGCTAAACCTATAAATACTACTTCAGGAAACTATAAGAATGTATTTTTTAAATAACGTTCAGACCAATGGATATGATACCACTGTAGGCGCCGGTAAAAAATTCGCTAAACAAATCATAACCAGGTCCAACATGGTTGAAGAGAAGGAGATTCGCCTACTGGGAATAGAATTAATTTCTATTGAATTCTTTAACATTAATTTAACCAAGTGTTAGGGAGATATCAGTTTTCGCACAAGACTATAATTCCAATAAGAAGCAGGATTGCCTAGTAGAAAATATGTCGTTTGGCAAGCCTTGTATTTTGGCTATCCTTTCATAGGAAGGCATGTATTAAACACTATATTTTTTTTATTTTCCCAGAAGTCACCATTTTACAGACATCTTTTTTGTCTGATCAGTACCAGCCATATTGTCACGGTGCTCGGTAAAAATGGCAGCGGTAAAAATGGCAACGGAAAAAATGGCAGGGTAAAAATGGCAAAAGTGGATAAATAGGAAAAAATGACAAAAGTGGATAAATAGGAAAAAATGGCAATTCGACAACAGAAAATTATGACCGTTCGAGAAGGATGGGTCTAAGCTCCCATCCCTCTAGTTTAAAATAGAGCTAAGTCCCCCCCCCACCACTCAATATTTTAAATTAAATATTTTTAAATAGATATTTACTCTAGTGGGGGCGGGTAGCTAGGCTCCTTCTCCTCTTGTTTTAAATAGGGGTAAAGTTCCCGCTCCTAGTATTAAAAACATTTTTTTTTAAATTTTCGATGTCGATTTTTAGAAGTTTTAGGGGTGGGAGCGATGGTTCCTACTCCTAATTGCAGTAAAAGCACAAATCGTAGCGTGTTTAAGTGAATTTGATGACTATAATTAATTTTATAATTGATACCTGACATTAGGATTAGATGTGTATATATAAAATAAGTGTATTAGTGTTTTTACATATATATATATAAAATAAGTGCATTAGTGTATACATATATATATATATATATATATATATATATATATATATATATATATATATATACATACAAATATATATATATATATGCATACAAATATATATATATATACATACAAATATATATATATATATATACATACAAACAAATATATATATATATATATATATATATATATATATATATATATATATATATATATATATTAGTGTTGGGACGATTAATCGGAATCCAGGAATCGGAAAAATCGCAAAGGCGAAGGTTAGAATCCCATTTACAGATTTCGTATTGACTCTCAGAGTCTAATTTAATTATTTTATTGGTAAATTATGGTAAACGAAGTAAATATTCTAGAGTTCACTTAGCCTATTCCTTAGCAAACCTTTTGAATTTCTGTTCACACCTATTTGTTAAATGTCTATATGACGCCTCTCAGAGACTTCACACTTGAGTATTAAAAGATTGAAAACGCATCAGACAAGATTTTAAATTTTACTGGCACCAGTCTCACCCTGTCGTTGTCTGATAGCCTCTGAAATAATTAATGTTTTATTGTTTTGTTTTTTCGGTTTCATCAAGTGGATCTATAATTGTTTTTTCCCAAAGTTTTTCACTGTGTTCAGACGTAATCGCCTAAAAAGTAAAATCTCATGGGAGGAGGGGAGCTTTAGCTAATATTCTTTTTAATTTGACAAACTTCTCATTTTTTCCATTATGTATTGTATCCAAGATTTTAATAAACTCATTGTGAGATATTCATCTATATTTTTTTCCTTTTGCCATTTTTTTTATTTATCCACTTTTGCCATTTTTACCGTTGCCATTTTTACCTATTTAACCACTTTTGCCATTTTTACCGTTGCCATATTTACCGCTGCCATTTTCGTAGCCATTTTTATCGCTGCCATTTTTACCTAAATTCATATTGTCACAGGAGCAATCTTGCTTTGAGAACAAGTATTTGAAAACAAGATAACACTGTTTAATTGAAAGAACATTAATGCTATCGACACAGCATCTACATAAAAAAAACTTCATATGCAGTTTTATACAGTGCTCTATTGCATACTTTCCATACAGTACTTAGCATGAGAAGTCGCTAGCTTTCAGCCATACTACGTTACAGTGAAACGTGTAGATTTATAGCAAAAATGTGCAAGTTTTTCTTACAATTCAATTCACTGTGTAAGCATCATTTATATCAGTGTATATTTTGTAAAAGAGATACAGTAATCGACGAAAATATCTGGCCCATGACTGAGCTTATGACTGAGTGAACAAGACGGGTTCCAATGGGAAAAGACATAGTAGACGCAGGTACAATTATATTTACATATACAGTGTAACCCGGATATAAGAGACCCGGATATAAGAGAAACCCGGATATAAGAGAGATTTTCTCTGGTCCCAAATTAGAGCCTGTGTTAATGTATATAAATTAGACCAAACCCGGATATAAGAGAAACCCGGATATAAGAGACTTCTTCTCCGGTTCCGACAACTCTCTTACATCCGGGTTACACTGTATTAGATTTTTCAGATAAAATAAATTTCTACAGTGTTCTGTGATTAATGGGAATATTTAATTCAAGTACAGTAATATATATGACAATGTGGAAAAAGTTTTCGTATGACGCTTTTCATGGCCAGCGCTAGAGCCTCGCACCAACACAACACACCGCCCCACCCCACCCCCCCCACCCCAAAACTTTGATACGGAGCACCCTCTCTACTACATGTCGATTTCAAAGTTTCCCAATCTGGGGACCACAAACTCTCCAAGGAGGGCGAGGAAGGGCAACGCTTTTCTTTTAAATTACTAAAAATCAGAGAATTATCGAATTTAAATGAAAATTTCAGTACATATTCATTATTTACTTTTATAATGAATAGATTTTTATTTTTTAAAAATCTGAGAAAATGTTACTCTTTTTGCAATAACCACCAATATTTTCATGACTAAATTTTACACGAAAAATAATGTTTAAGTCGCAAATTTTTACATTTCCATAAAGAGTAATCGCCAACGCATCTCCGCTGAAAAAAAAGTTTTACAAAGATTCCAACACAGCACAAACGTGATTGTCTTAAAAATTTGTTTTAAAAATAGTATTTCAGCTTCCGGAAAATTTTTTGATGTTTTGTAATCTTTAGACATGTTTATTTTGTAAGCACTCATTTTCTCGGTTTTATCTTTGTAGGAATGTAAAAAATAGGAAGTAGAAATTTTATTTTAATTACTAGCCGTGTACTTATTATTTAATATTAGTAAAAGAAATCTGAGATTCTCTTAGTGGATGATCTCAGAATAAAAAAATTATATCCTCTTAAATTAATTGATTTAAAAGAATCAGAATGAAAATTACAATTTAAAAAATAAGCGTTACTGACATTAGCACTTCTGCCCCCTTCCCCACTAGCCATGGAACCCCCACGCAGTTGAGAGGTTCGGGGTAGTAAGCACTGGTCCTGTCGATTGAGTTGATGACTGAAAAAAGTAAAACGTACAAAAAAAAAAAAAAAAAAAAAAAAAAAAAATCACCTTTGAAACTAGCCATTTTGGGATTCCAACTTTGTTGAGGGTTCCTGCGTGGTACGCACTGCACTGTTAATGTAGATACACGGTGTATATTAATAGCTGATGACTGGCAAAAAGAATCTAGGATACGTATGCGTGGCCTTAGTGTTTACACCCTGGAAAGTCTTCAAATTGCAAGGAAATTGTCTCTGAAGATTCTTTCATGTGCTTTTTACTTTCGTTATTGTACTCTTTTAGTCATCTCTTTTTCCGTTATTACTCTTCTTCTCAGGGCCGTAACATATTAAACAAAATATCTGACAATATAGAAATGTTTCTGTCTCTCTCCATTCATCTACAAACATTTTTGTGTCTAGTGATTTCCTCAAGTGGTTTAATCATTCTAATATTACTGATGTTGCTGGTATTCAGAGTTTAATTTTTTTCCGTTTTCTTAGTCAAATCGTTGGTTCACCTACTAGTGGATTTCCCTAATAATTCTGATCAACATGCTTCTTTACTTGATTTGTTCCGTACCCCATTTCCTGGCTTTTGTCAAACATCACGACTTTGTCCTCTTGGCAATTTGGATCACGTTGTAGTATCTGTTGATATTTCTTTTGAGTCGCCTATTAGACAGGAACCTCTTATTCACAAAACTTCTTTATGTTACCAGCGTACTGATTGGGATTCATTTTGTTACTTTCTTTAGGACAACCCATGGATTGATATTCTTAACCTTCCTATTCAGAATTGTGCTACAGAAGTTTCTTCTTGGGTTAAAACCGGTATCGATGCTTTTGTACCTTCTCGGAAATACCAGAGGAAACCAAAATCTTGTCCTTGGTTCACACTGGCCTGTTCAGCCACTATAGCCCAAAGGAATCACTTTTTTCCCCGGTTGTACCAGCGTGATGGTTCTGATCACAACAGGTGCCTCTTTGTGTATGCTTGTAATAATTGTAAACGTGTCCTCAAAGTGGCTAAGTTTTTATTTGCTGACAGAATGAGGCACAAGTTTGGTTCTCGGAACTCCTGGCGGCTCTGTAGTAGTAGTGGCAGACAAGCAATTCTATTCCTCCTCTCTTCACTTAATTTGAGGTGAACATCTGATAAAGCAGAATGTTTTGCTCGTAAATTCTTTTCCAGTTCTACTTTTGACTCATATGGACTATCTTTGCCTGACTTTCCACTCTCTAATGAATGATATGCATGGTTTTGCCATCATCTCTAAACTGGATCCCCACAAAACATGTGGATCTGATGGTATCCCTGTGATAGTTATTAAGAAATCTACTCCTGAACTGGCTCCTGATATCTGTAAACTTTAATAAATGCCTTGCTGCTTCTTGCTTTTCTACTTGTTAGAAATCCTCTTCTGTAGTTAGTCTTTAAGAACTAAAGTGAACAATCTGATCCTTGAAACTATAGAACTATTAGTCTTCTATCTCTTTTTGTCAAAGTGTTAGTATCTAATCAACTTTGAATTGGTTAAGCACCTCAACTAAAAGGTTTTTCTTTCAGATAAGCAATATAGCTTTCGCTTATCTATGTCAACTGCTGATGCATTAACGATTATTACCGAGTCTATCAAAATTTAGAAAAGGATGGTGAAACTCGATCTGTTGCTTTGGATATCTCGAAGGCCTTTGACAGGGTTTGACATACTGGTTTTCTTCATAAGTTGAAAGGCTATGGCATTTCTGGATTAATTTTTGAATTGATTCAATCTTTCTTACAAGTCGTGAAATGAAAGTTGTCTTGAACGTGTTCGTAGATCTTTTTGCATTAATGCAAGTGTTCCCCACTGATCTATCCTTCGATCTATGTTGTTCGTAATTTTTATCAACGATCTTCCTGATGTCACCAGGTCAACTCGTTATCTATGCTGATGACACAACTATTTACTCTTGTCATAATAATAAGCCTGTTCGGTTCGATAAGGTCAAATTGGAAACTGATCTAAAAATATTACCTACAATCTGTTGTTAACTGGAGCAAGGAATGGCTTGTTAATGTTAACGATTCCATAACTAAACTGTTCTCTTTTAATAGTTTGAGAGAACCCGTTTTGCCTTCCATCAGCATGGATGATGCTAACCTCCAGGTAAATGACTCATTGTGTCCTCTCCGGTTAACGTTTCCTGCTGATATAAAGTGGAAAGATTATATTGAAACAATTGCCCGGTCAGCTGCTAGAAAAGTTGGCTCACTGTGTCAAGTAGATAATTTTTCTAGCCAGAATGTATTTTACCCATTTATAAGTATTACCATTCGTTCGTGCGCTGCCATATCTGGTTCGATGTTTCTGCAATATATTTAGAGGTTCTTGATAAAATACAAACAAGAATCTGCAATGTTATTGGTCCTGACTTACCACCTCGACTTCAGTCACGTTCCCACCGCCGTAACGTAGTTTCCCTGTGCCATTTCTAGAAATACTTTCATAGTAATTGTTCTGATGAAATTTCCTCTTTGGTTATCTTGAAGCATAAATTACACCATCATGTTTATTTTGGGATTGTCTTCCTCAGCGGAAATCTTATCGGATTTCTGTTGATAGAAAAAGTAAGAGGAACTCATGTCTAAATTAATATTTCCTCTGTTTGTGGAGGTGGCAAGATAAAAAAAAAGGCTTGTTCTTTTTTCAGTGTTGTTTAACTTTTATTTATTTATTATCATTGTTTTTATTATCAGGGCACAAATGATTGATTGGTTCGTTTTGCACGGCTTATCAGCTCCTCAGGTTATTTAAAGCCAGAAAATATTTTTTTAAAATTATATAAGAAGAATTATTATATTTTTTACATAATGATGGCTTAAAGATATAAGTTTTACTTAACTAATACCTAGAGGAGAGAAAAGGTGGATTCATACCTTCCTTAAGGTTATTTATGCGTAAGTGAATATAACGAACCCAACGGGAATTGGAACTCGCCTCTCCAATTAACGATTTTGAACCATTATCCATTACACCACTCGCACATCCAAGTTTAAAGCACCTGATATAAATTATTAAACGTTAAATGTATCTGAGTTGTTAGCATCTTAGTATTTTTCTTAGATTGCTTTTAAAAAATAATCTTACTTTTAAATTCTGATATGAGATTTGTTTTTTAAATATAGGCTAAGTTCTTAATATTGTAGCCTTCCAGCTGATACTGTCCGTACCTTTATCGGGTGTGAATACCACCCAGAAACTTTTAAAATGTTTTAAACAGGATCCTTTATTTTACATAGAAAGATATATATTGTTTTGTCGTTGGGGATCAGAAAGAATGATCGTTTTATAACTCCTGGAATTCCACAGACAATATTTGGTAGACACATGCAAGTCCGGTAAAAATGGGAAAGACACACGGCATGGAATATGAACAAGCAACAATTATTTGATGTATTAAGACAGGTTTACAGAAAAGTAAAGAAAGAGATGATCTTCATCGTTGAAGTTAATTATAGCTCAACACCATCTTCAGTTGATGTCTCTGAATTACATACATGTCACGTACTCTGTGGGAGAGAGAAAGAGAAAGAGAGAGAGAGAGAGAGAGAGAGAGACAGACAGACACAGAGACAAAGCACGTATTGTAGCTACCAAAGTCAAAGAGAAAGAGGAAGAACCTTTCAAAAATTGTGCCGCCTGTGATTTATTCAGGGACGGTAATCTAACATACCTGCGATACTATATTCACAGTGGGTTCTCTACTGATCTCAGCTTCAAGGACGGCCCGATGAACTTGGAAGGTCGTTGTACTGGACACTGGTCACGTTATTCCTTGTTGAAAGCCTTCTTCATGCCGCATTATTTTAACTTGATCCTAAAGAAGCCTTCTGATCAAGTGTTAAAACTAAGGTGAATTTGGCACAATTAGAAAAAAGGTGGAAGCATATTCTGTAAGACAGTAAATGTCAGTTTTATTCATCTTCTATGAATTGCTAATTCATTTATTCCTTCTGGAGACGCGATTTACACCAAGGACTGGAATGAGTAGAGGGAAAACGAAGGCTTGCCGCCGGAGAGAGGCGGGCTCGATGGAAAGAAAACAACAAAGCGACATCGCGGGGAGATGCTCTTTACATGCATTCGTTGCAATCGAGACTGTCACTTATATGTGGGCTTGTACAGCCATAACTAATGCTGCACCGCCATCTTTGGGCGCAGATCCAAGGTCTCTCGAGACCGACGGGTGCCGTATACAAAATGTCAGATTTATTCGTTTTCTATAAATTGAAAATTTATATATTCCTTCCCTGTAATTAATTAGCTTTGACAATGGCGTCGGTCCTCAAAGATCTCTAGCATGAGAGAAAAAGAGAGGAACCAGTCTGTGTCTGTGTGTGTATTCATTCTTGTCTGCTGACGTAATTAGAAAATCCACAGTTATGTCTCTATTCTGCTAGCACGAAACACCAAATAGAATATTTTACTCTCCAAATCGAAGCACCAACTGATTGGAAACTCAAAATGTCTACTTTTATAAACTTCCTCGCTAAATTGACAGGATGATACATTTTTTTTTCTTCTGTCCACTATGTCTCTTCGGTTTGTTGGTGATCATGGCTCTCCACAAATTCCTGCCCCATGTAGTTTTAAGCGATGCTTCGCTCTTTACTATGCCTCTTTTCCTTGCTCTGCCACCATAAACTCATTAAGTTAAATGCCGTTCACTCTATCTCTCTTTCCTTCACTATGTCCTGTGAGTGTTACATTTTCTAAGCTCTCTTTCCTCATAATGTGCTCCAGAGATTTCAACTGTCTCTTTTTGATTTTAAGTATAAATATCCTTTTCGTTCTAATTTCCATTAAAAATTGCGAGTTGCACACATGTTCTGTCCATGATATTTTCAACATTTGTCTGTTTTCTTAAGAAAAAGATTTCCCTAAAATTAATGTAGTTTAGGAAACAGCTTTAGCTTGAAAATCTTTTCCCCTGGAATCTATCATCTGTGAACCTAATTAACAAGAAAAAAAATAAAAATAAAAAAATAAATAAATAAATAAAAAAATAAATAAAAATAGGAAATTGCCATTTACTGGAAATAAATGACTATCAAGACATTGACGGCAATAGCATATGAGCGCCGCTATTTTGGTTTAAATAGGATACGCTGCAGTACAGACTCACCTCAACGTCACACCCAACTCATAATAAGAATACATCAGAAAACAGTGCGTACTGTACGCTGCGATATGCCTACGCTGGTTTGAAAATATCATTATAGTCTAGTTAGTTTATAATGAAAACTCTAGGGCAGGGGTGGCCAACCATTTGATTCCATGCGCCAATATTTTGTACGATTCATTTAAATGCGCCACACAAACATTCACTTCCTTTCAGTACGTGTTGTAATATGGACATATTTTAAAGGTATCACAAAATCTATTTATTTGAAAAATATATGCTTATGACCAGGGCCGTATACAGGAGTTTTGAGGGGGGGGGCATCAATCAATGCTTTGACTTTTTTTTTCCTCTTCAGATTTTGCAGAGGGGGGGGCAGAGTTTATAGGCAAAATAAACATAAATAACTTTAATGTGTCTTTTAATTCTGCTTTGATTTCGCCAAACCAACAATATTAGGAGTTAAATTCGTAACTGAAAGCAACAAACAATTCTTCAAGTTCGAATCGGACAGTCGCGACCTTTTCATCAAAAGGATGCAATGCGCCACTTGTAAGCATCGCATGCGCCACAGGTTGGCCATCCTTGCTCTAGGGACCAATATTTCACGGTGTCTTGAAAACGTATACAGAGTGGATGGAAAGAAACTTATTATTTTAAATTTTTAATATATTTATTAATTATTGGTCGATTTTCTTAAAACATGTTTTATTATAAACAGTATAATGGTAAAAATACGGTACAGCGTTAAAATTCTATATTAGGCACCAGCATTGTTCGCAATTGTCTGGGTCTATCCTCGACTGACTTCATCATTTTCTGTACCTTTTGCATATTTTCATCCAATCTGGATGTTGAAGGACGACTACTTTTGTGGGTATCTACATCAAATACCGTACTCATCAGCTTGCAATGACAATTTTTGATAGTTTTGGAATTTACTGAAGCACAAGGTCCATGAACAGTGCACCACACAATCTTTGCATTTGTACGACGGATTGAGGTACTTCGTAACGAGATGTTTAATGAGCACGCTCACTCAATGTCAGGGCTACACTTGTCACTCTGAATTAAAAACAGAAATTAGAAATTAAATTCTACCACTTTAGGGATTGCAATATGTTTGTTTCGTGCCATTGTTGTGTTAAGGTTATAAGTAAATTTCAACAGAGAGTTTCTTTCTACCCACACTGTACAGGGTGCGATGGGTAAATTGTCACCATTTCATATTTTTAATTTCGCTCATGCGCGTTGTTTGCTTTTGATTTCATAGACTGCATAGTAAGGTCAGTTGGGCACCGTCTGTGAGAAAAAAGAGCACCATGACGCAATTCACCTGGCCAGAAATTTGGAAACGACATGCTGTACTGCTTGGCATTCGCACCGGAAGCTCCAATACGAACATGTCAGAGTGTTTGGGTGTCAGTCTGAGAACAGTGCAGAGAATTTAGAAAGAGTTGGATGAGTCTAATGGTGATTACAAAGGTACGGCAGCTCGGAAAATTTGTTGGTGAAGGCCTCAGACTCAACATAGAGGACTACATCAAGTGCCTTGAGGGGTGGCTGATGGAAGACCCTATGTTTGGTAACAGGACTCTACACCATGCCATACAAGCAAGAGAACCCAGACATGGCTGTCAAACAATTTCAGCAACATCACCCGTTACATTTGGCCACCTAACTCCCCAGACTGCAACACATTTGATTATTATGTTGGGGCTAGGGGCGTACCGAGGCAAAGTGCCGCCCGTGGCCCGTATTTATAATATTTTTAAGGGTCATTTCCAACATCTCCCATTTCTTGAAAGCGCTCTGGTGGTCAGACAAATTTTCATGTTCAGGCATTTTTGAATTAAGCTTCCAGAAATTTTGAAATCCTGGATTTCTTTATAGACTTGATTTGTGTTGCTCTGTCTTCAGGAAGAGGCAACAGTAGAAACAATAAAGAGATATATTCGTCTTTGAGTACAGCAACCATGATCTCAAAACAGTCCCTCCATTCTCCATAGTTTTGTAAAACCAGTGTCATAGCATAACCCTCGGATTATTTTTCCTCGGTTTTACAGTCGGAGCAAACTGTTCATCTTTGTTTTGAAGCATTTTAAGCCCAAATATTACAAGAACAACAAGCAACTGCCCTGACCAAGTTTATGGTCTAATTGCGATGTCGTCGTACACAGCAATCTCCGTGTTTGCCTGTTCTATTTCTTTATTTCCAGTAACTTCATCAGTTCCTTCTTCATATTCAATACCTGTTCTTACCGCATGCACTGGAGCTCTCTTCCTTTAGCACATCATCATTGTCACCTTCAATTTCTTCTTTAACAATATTAATTTCTGCAGGAAATTCTTCTTCAATTTTTATTTCTATATTTGTCTCCACCATATTCGCATTTTCTCCATGTCCCTCCCCTCGTAGTTCTGATGTACATTCAGCATCCTCATCTTTGCATTTTGCCTTAGCTACATATTTCTTCTGTCGGACAACCTGTAAAGATGCCGCACATTTTCCTTCCCTGCGTTCTCTGGTAGCTTTCAACTTGCAGTAAGCCACACCATTCAGTTTTTGCCGTTTACTCATTCTATTCGATAAAAAAAATAGAAAAAGAAACAAATAGGAAAAGATCATACTCAATGACAGGGAATTTTTATTTATTGTACTAAGATACAATTTTTATTTATTGTACTAAGATACAATTTTTATTTCTTGTACTAAGATACAATTTTTATTTATTGTACTAAGATACAATTTTTATTTATTGTACTAAGATACAATTTTTATTTATTGTACTAAGATACAATTTTTATTTTACATCTGCATAATCTTAACTTACCTTTTTTATATCACACACTTAAGATTCTTAGTTTTTAATACTAATATAAAAAGGTAAACTTGTAATATGCACTAGATTTGATTTTTCTGAAAATGTTTAATTTAAAAATCTCTAAAAAATGTAAAATTTAATATAGAGTATTGTTATTTTCACATAATTCTAAAATAGTGATTTTATGGAAAATCTATTGAAATCTCTGATATATATGGAGTTTTCGAGCTTTAAAAATTGCAAGTTTAGTGAAAACTTTCGAAATGTAAACAAACTTTAAATCGCGTATATTTCTGGTTCTACTTTACTACGAATGATTTTATTTATTAAAAAATTAACTCCAATCTTTTTCTACGGAAAGAACCTATTGAAAAGAAAGAAATAGGATGCATTTTAAACAAGTTTCAAAGATCTACAGTTGATCAGTCTAGGAGGAGATTCTACAGTTGAGATTAGTTGGCATGGAGATTTTATAGTTGATCAGTCTAGGGGGGATTCTTCAACTGATCCAATGTGTTATATCAACGTTTTCCAATAAAAAGCATAATAATTGATTATCTTCAAGATACACACTTCCGAATTTTTCAGCTTTTTTTTTTAAAGGAATGTCGCCTTCAAATTAGCAGCAGGAGTCAGCCTCTTACGCTCTGGTCTGCATTTTTCGGGAAAATAAACTTGTTTTTCATCTGAATTCTTAAATAATTTTCTTTTACAATAAATTAATTTGGGCATTTTTCAATAAATATATATCAATGAACTTTTTTTAACAATAAAATTTGAAAACTTTTTTAACAACGAATTGAAAACTTTTTAATAATGAATTGAAAACAAATGAAACATTATTTCAGAATTTCCCGAAAAAAGTCCATCAAAAGGGCATACGAAGCTGGCTCCTGCTGATACTATAAAGACAGCATTCCTTAAAAAATAAGCTGAAAACGTTAGGGTTGCGTATCTTGAAGATAAGCACATAAGTAAACTGTTGTTTTTTATGCATAAATAGTTTATACTTCTTTCATAACGTCATAGCAGTTATGTTCAAAAAAATAATGAAGGGGTTGTTATTGTGCAGGGACCGGCAAAATAGCCTTTTCCTAATTTTAAAATTTAAATGAAGGCTGTTTTGTTCTAAAATGTTTCAAGTATTAAAATAAAAAAAAGAAGAATTAAACTTACGCTTTGAAGTTAACAGATTTTTTTTACCAAGGATAACTGGTTAGTCCAATGCTGTGTGTCGGTTCTCTGAGTGTACATGGTGGACTGTTTCAGGATTGGCACCACAGACTCATAAAATATATCATCGGCAAACATCATTGAGGCAATAAAACCCAAATATTTCTTAAAACCCATGTGCGTTATAATTTACTATCAAAATCAACTACAATCCTTATTTTGATTCAATGATTTGGCTCTTAAATCTAATCAGTATCCCGTGATATGTAAAAAAATATCGGGAATTTCAATTAATAAAATTATTAATTAAACATATTAATAATAATGCAAGTATTTTCAAATTTCATGGACAATAAGAGAAAAATATGAATAAAATATTTGAAAAAATGCGTTATTTATTTATTTTATTTTTAATTTTCCGCCCAAAAGACCTCTGCTTTGGGAAGGAATGCAACTTAAAAAAAAGACTAAGCTTATTTCTTAAAAAGCTTAAGACTTCAAAGAAGAAGAAGACTTTTCTTTATTTCTTTAAGCAAATTTAGTCTGAATGAAAAATTTTCGTAAATTTTTTAAATATAAAATCTCGTAAAATATGCTATCTTACATTGGGAAGTTTTAATCATACAATTTTAGATGGATTAAATAAATCTTTATTTAATTACAAATATTTCTTCTTAGGCACAAGGGTTCGAAGACTTTCAAAATCCACTGCAAAATTTTTAAGTGAATAAAATATAGATAAATTGCCTCAAAGGAAATTTGTTTTTGGATCAACCCAAAGAAAAAAAACATTGTTTTTAAAACTCCACTAAAAAAAAAACAAAAAAAAACACACGGTATAAAAATTCTTTTTGGAGTTTTTAAATTTAAAATTAAAATTTTCGAATAACTTTTTCAGGGTGTTCACATCGTAAATTTAATTCTCTTTTTATATGTGGCTTCTGATTTTTGATCTTTCTAGAAATGTAAAAATTAGCGATTGGGACTTTTTTTTTATTCAAATGACCAAACGTTAGTGATAAAAAATATTTTCTCGAGGTTTTTTTTTTTTTTAAATCAAAGAAGTTATATTCATTATAAAATTAATCTATTAATGAATAAAATACCAAAAATTTCATTAAAATTTCAACATTTTCGCAAATGATTTTGAAATCATTGAAAAAAAAGACATTTTCGGACATTTTATTTTTATAAAAAATAATTTAAAAACGATCCAAAAACTATTTAGGTCGATTATCGCAATACAAAAACAAGGCGAGGGGGCGCGCGCGCGCACGCACACACACACACACACACACACACACACACACACACACACACATATATATATTGGTTGTACAAATTATACAATATAGTGGGGATGTTCGTTGGAAAAAAAATTTAATTAAAAAAAAACAAAATATTAGATTTCTTTTTTGAAACACCATAACATAAAAATGAATGATCGCGTTTTCAATTTTTTTTTACCCGCATAATGCCGCCCCCATAAAGTGCCGCACGGGGCTCAGGGCCCAGGGCCCAAATGCCACCACCCCCTGTCCGCCACTGTGTGGGGCGTTGTTGAGCAGGAGACCAACAAAACTCCTTATAACAACAAAGATAAACTGAAGGCAAGGATTATTGCAGCATTCACCAACTTAAACAAGGAGACCATCCAGAAGAGTTGCAGGAGGTTCCAATGTCGTCTGGTGGCCATTGTTGAAGCAAATGGCGATTTTATTGAATAAATTTACTCTTTAGTATTTCAAGATATTTTCGTGTAATTTTGGCAAATATATCTGTTAAAATGAGATGTCAGTGTTATTTTCATTTTTGTGTAAAATCATTTAAATAAGAAACTTATTTACTCATTTCTTAATTTTTCTCCAAGAAAACATGTTTATTTATCATTTGGTTCATTTCGATGGTTATTTGATATTTTTTCCTTTCCATCAACCTTGTATATGATTTTCATTTCAGTAATTTCCAATAGGAAGTTTTATTTTCACTGTATACGTCGACAAAAATGTAAGTTTTGTAAAGACGTATAAGAACATCTGTAGCAGCGGAAGTGTTCATTAGTTATTTATCCTCTTGTTACAGTTTGTTACTCTTGTTACATTATAAGAGTTTTGAAAGACTTTTATTTTCTCAGCTCCCAGTCCCATTGAAATTTAACTGGCCGCTTCTTACGAGTGGAGAACAATTCTTCCTAGTGACTATTTTTAGCTAATATTTTATTTAAAAATCGATTTTTTTTTTACATTGGCGTGTTCCCTCTTTGTCTATAGGAGCTATAAGGATGATTTTTTTTAGCGTAGCTTAGATGTGGCACCCGGTGAAGGGTCGAACTCACCATTCAGTCATAACTGATCTAGCGAGACAAGCTTTCTAACCATTACACCATGTCGTAGTGCCCAACAGTTTTTTCTAAGAGTAGCTTAAATGTGGCACTCAATGAGGATCGAACTCACTATTCAGTCAAAACTAATCTAGCGAGACAAGCTTACTAACCATTACACCGTGTCGAATGCCCAAACTGATTTTCTAAGCATAGCTTAGGTGTGGTACAAGGCTGAAAGTGTGGAGTATCCAGTGAGGATCGAACTCACTACTCAGTCGCAATTAATCTAGCGAGGTTTTCTAAGCGTAGCTTAGGTGTGGTACAAGGCCGAAAGTATGGGTCAACCAGTGAGGATCGAATTCACTATTAAGTTATAACTGTTCTAGTGACACAAGCTTGTTAACCATTACACCACATTGAGCTGGCACTCTTGAGACTATTATACCAGTAAACCAAATTGTCAAGAGGATCTTGACAGCTTCTTTTTTATGTCCTGTGTCACCTCATGACTTGGGCAATCATGGCTCACCACAGAGAAGGGTGAAAAAGTGCATTAGACTCGTTTGAAGGGGAAACCATGTATTTGGTGGTTGGAAAATAAAATAAAAATAAATTGTTTGTGACACCAGTCCCGTTACTTTTCAGACAGACCTCGTATTTATCAAATAAATTAAGCTTTTCTTGGTTGTGGCTCTTTTACTGTGTGTTTCGCAGAATGCCACACTTACTTTGGTCCGTCTCCGATTGTTCGTTTCTGACGAGTTCGCTCTTCACCAATCCTGCATCACCACGTTGTGTTTCCATATTCGCAGGAATATCAGTGAAGTACTATCAAAGGTCAGTCTTGGCTCCTCTCTTCCCTGGCTGTACTTGTGAAAGACTCAACTCACCAGTGACGCCGGTAACCTTAATTAACTTCAACAACACTCATTAACAAGTGTAAAATAACAAATTTTATTTATGGTACTATGATTGATTAAGATCATGAATACATAAAGAAAAGGGATTTGAAGAAGTTTCTCAGTATAAGGAATTTTTAAGCTGGGAGGAAGAGGTTTACTGGCG